CTACAATTAATATATGGATTTTGATGACAACAATACATATATTTTATATGTAAACAATTTTGTTTCTAATAGTTTATTGAGTGTGAAGATTAGTAGTTCTAATTTGATTCTTGATTGTTGTCTGAAAAATCATCAGAAATACACCAAGCACGCATCAAAAGGACTATTGCATCCGCTTCTAAAGTAACATCAATAATTCTAAAGAATGTTGAATGTTCACCAGAAAGATGATCTCTTGTGTACTTCTCAATAAGTTGCTGCTTTAGAAGTCACTAGTATTCTAGAAGAGAGAATTTATATTAGAGTTGTTGCTCCAAGATCAAAAAACAAGATAGCACCAGAAATAAGTTTTGCGCCAAAGATCAGAAGTCAAGATTTATTCGTTAGAAAAGTTATTGCTTCTAAATATGAAGACAAAGTCAAGATTCTGAACACATCAAAGTAAAGCTTCTACTTCCGAATTAGAAGTCAAGATTTGTTCATCAGAAAAGTTGTTGCTTCTAATTCTGAAGACAAAGTCAAGATTCTGAATACTCAGATACTTCGTGGCATATGCGCATATTACTTCACATCAAAAACATTCCATCAGAAGACAGATCAAGGAAATTTAGATCTTCTGGACTCATTATTATTCTACATCATATAGTCTATCAGAAGACAAGATCAAATATGATATATTCTCAAGCCAATCTACTTCATCATAATTAATATTCATCAGAAGACAATATCATCATAAATATGTTCAAGAATGGTTAGTACAATAGTACAATTACACATTCCACTCAAATGGATGTACTGTATATTATTTCTCCCCCACGATTGTTTCTTACCGTTGGTAGCTGACAAGATGAAAGTGAGATGTACTACTACAACGATCTACCTCCTCAACGCCTATATAAAGGATCAATTGTTTCATTTTCAAAACAAGAGATTGGAACACAAGAACAATAATGTTACCCAAATCAAAGCAAGAAGAACAAAAGATCAAAACACAAGAGTTGTTGCTCATTATTATGTTGATATTACTATTTGCTAGAACACAAGAGTTGTTGCTTATTATTGTGTTACTATTGTAATTTGTTTGAACACAGGAGTTGTTGCTCATATTTGTGTTATATAATTTGTACTTGAACATTTGTGTAATCCGCTTGTAAGAAGAAATCTATAAACACATCATTCAACTATAAGTTAATTAAGTCCTTTTCTAAGGCATAGAGAAATCTCCTTCAAGTGACCGGGTAGGTCAGAATCCTTAAGGAGTCAATGATCGATATATCTCTTAGGGGACTAGGTAGGTCAGAATTCTTAAGGGATCACTAACAGGTTATCATTGTTATTGTTAGTCACCATAGGGTCGCCCGTGCATATGTAATATTTCAATATTAGTGGATTAAATCCTTTTCTAAGGCGAAATCACCTTGAAGGGTGGACAGGATTAACCTTTTCTAAGGTGAACCTGTATAAATCGAAAGTGTCATTATTTCTCTTCTAAAGCATTGTTTCTAATTCTGATTGTTTGTATAAAGCACTTCTAAAAGAAAAAGTTTTTGAAAACCTAATTCATATACCCTATTTCTTTTGGTTTTCTCAACCTTCAAGTATTAGGTAGTTGAGCCCCCCATCATCTCCCTTTTTCGATGATTCAATCCACCATCCAAACTTCTTTTTTAAAGCATACTCTTGATAATATGTTTTAACTTCCTCTAGACAAGAAAAATGCATCTTCATTGCATGAATCCAACATGAATCATCATCATCACCATCATTGTGATCAACTTCTAGATCTTCCCTTTGAATACTACCACAATCTATCAAAATGTTTGAATTGTCTATTATGTTTCAGTTGTGAAAAAAAACATGACACTAAAACTGCACAAAAATGTTATTTAGATGTAGAATATAAATTTATATCAAAATTGTTTAATGGTGTGTAAAACGTTGGTTAATGTTGGGTATAAGTTGGTTAATAAATGCCTAGACATGAATAAAAAATTATAACATTCTTTATTATAAAGTTGAACATTGATTGTCTTAAGGCTATAAAAGGTAATCCTTTCCTCATTTTTATTCATTCCATCTTGCAATCTCTTATTCTTCGTATTTTCTCTCTATTTACTATTTCACAAATATTGTGTAAGTTTCGCTCTTAGTCCTCATATATCATCATGACACCAAAAAGAGTCAGAACTTCTGCCAACTCCTCCACTCCAACTTCCTTCTCCTTCTTGCAAGATCCATAATCTTGCATTCCCTCACCTTTTCTTGTGCGTAGTGTGCGCCCATATATTAGGCTAATTCATTATATGGTAAACCACGTCCTCGTCCCTAGAAAATATAATTTGGGACAGTTGTGAAAAGTTGATGTGGTCATCGCCTGGTCATTGGCCAACAAAGTTAAGACTAATTGGGCTAGTGCAGTGATCCACCACATGATAGTAAACAAAAGAAAAGATATGGTGCCATACAGTCACTTGGTATCGAAAGTTTTGGAGCATGTTAACTTCAATCTTGAGGATGAGGAATCCAAGTATAACTCTAAAGGGATGGGAAATGCTTCGCTGGGGCTAATTAGAATTGAGATCGAAGGAGTGTCATCTCAAAAACCTCCCAGAGCTAGAAGAGCCACTCAAAGGCGCCAAGCTCAGCAGCGATCACCTTATTAAGCAAGACCTTTAAATATGTAAGATTTCGATTACGAGATCCCTAAATTTTTTCCATTCAAAGATCTCATTCCCCCATATGCTTGCTTATTGCTTGTTGTTTTTCCCGTTTTTAGTATTTGAATTCCTTACTTTTTTAATTAATAAAGTATTTTGAATTTTAAATTCTTATGTTTTTTGTGATCTATGTGCTTGAGTATGTAGAACCATGTTTTGCATGTTACTTAAAGAAGTGATCAAAGCTAACTATCATAGCTTGGTCTCAATAGTGTGCTTTTGATGATGAAAACTTGAAGACAACTTGTATAACAACTTTTGCAATCTATGAGGATTAAAGTATGACAAGCGGTTAAAGATGCAAGCAGACAAATTAGGGTTTGATAATCACTACAAACGTCCTCTAGTTTATATTATTTTAAAAATATTAATGTGTATACTTTAAATTTATCTTTAAGAAAACGATTTTTAAGTTTGTGAAAAAAAAAACGAGTTGAACCTAATAAAGTTGAATCATATTTGTTTGTGAACTTAAAATGAATCGAGTTTGAGTTTAAAAAAAGAAGAGAATATCTTTGTACACCCTTATGTCTTCTTAGGGGTCCCTGGCGAAATTTCCGTAATACCCCGTTAATTCGGATATGCATATCCGAACGAACTCAATATTTCAAGAGGTTTTTGGATATGCATATCCGAACGAACCCTTATATTTCATTTTCATGTGGTTTTTGGATATGCATATCCAAAATAACTCAATATTTTATTTTCAGAGGGTTTTCGTATATGCATATCCAAATTAAACATACCATTTGAAATTAAAATTAAAATCTCTAATTATTATTAACTTCTTAAAATAATCATTTATCAAAATAACATACTAGAAACAAATTATAAATTACAATAGTAATTTCTATTTAGAATAAATTATTTAGACTTTAAAGTTTCTAAGCAACTTTATTATATTTTTTAAAAATTAGTTCAAATTAAAATAGCAATTTATTTAAAATAAAACAAAATGAAAGATGTATCTTTTAAATTGAAAGAAATTAAGATATATAATTTTTTTTAATATTTTGATTGAAGTCTTGACTCAAGTTAAAACTATAATTATTTCTTTCTAAACATAGTAAAAACAAATCTGAAATAAATAACAACAAAATTTTATGTATTTAAAATAAATATCATTCAAAATTTGAATGATTACAAATTAAATTTAAAATAAAATTAAAGTTGAGATATTGAATTATTTCAGATATACATATCTCAAAATAGAATATTGGATTATTTCAGATATGCATATCTGAAAATGAAATATAGGAATTCGTTATATTAAAAGGTATTTTGGGTCTTTCAAATATTTTCTCACTCATATAAGGGTGTACTAAAAAATCTCCAAAAAGAATTGTATCGAATTCGGATTGAATTTCGAACTGAACCAATTCTTAACGAATCAAGCTAAGACGAGTTCAGATCAATTCAATTCATTTTCAGCCCTAAGAAAAATCCAAACCCGGTCAAAGTGAGTTTTCTCCATCAAATTTAGGACAAGTTCGGAGTTGGATATCTCATAGTTTTGGTTTTGTTGTCATGCCTAATTAAGAGTGATAAAAGTAGTACATATGGACTCTATCTATCATGGACGGCAAGAACTACAAGTTTAATTGCATCTTCAACTTTAGCTGGGTAGTCAACCAGTCTCATTACATTCCTTATAGAAGATTCGGGGGCTTAAGAAGAGTTTTCCCAGAACAAGACAAATGGCCTGAGAGGGAGAAGTTAGCAACGTTAGACAGAATTTGTAGGGACATTTGAAATTGCGTTGATATATCAGATTGGCTGGTTTTCCAGGGTTGATACAGTATCTTCCATCAGTGGACATTTGATGGGGGTCCCCAAGAAATAGGGCTAAACTCATGTCTTTTTAGTCAGTTCAAGGAAACATGAGGGTTGAGTGAAATTTAAATCAACACTAACCCATTCCAAAATAAAAATCAAAGACCAACTATCCAAATTGAAATCTATAAGTAAAACGGAGCCATACATTACAGCTGATGCCTAGAATCTGGTATCTTTTACAACAATGAATGATGGATCGAGTTCAAACTAGAACCAGCAAGAAGCTATAGCTACAATTTGGAAAATTTTAGCATTCAAAATCACCTAACCTAGACAAATATTAAAAAAAAATGGGTTCAACAGTAACACGCTATAAAAGCCTAATTGAAGACATCGGATTAATAACAAAATTAATTTTAAGAGACCGATACTTTCAAGTGGTACATTCATATTTGTTTGGTAGCAGAAAAGAGTCTCATGAACTTTCATGATTTCAGATTGCTTCTATTAGCGCCGAGCAGTTCTGGATTTTGGACGTGGATTTTTCTGCAAATAACATCGTAGAAAAGAAAGCTTAAAGGATGCAGCCAAACACATCATAAAAAATCACTAAAACTACAGATCACAATGATTAATTATAACAGAATCTACTAATAAGCCTGAGAGGTTAAAGTTTACTTACAGATCCCCCAAAGCTTGCTCCTGATCCTGCTGCAGCACCTGAGTAAGAAAAAATGGTCAACGTGGTTTGAAGATAATATTAAAAAAGATGAATTAAATCCCTCTTTTTTTCTTGTCATGATAAAATGAGAGGGAGGGAGGCATCAGGTTTCAGTTTCTTTGTTATCTCTTGCTATCAAGTTCAACAATAATACATTTAATTATTTTAATCACGTTTTGTTAGGAACCCAAGAATTGGATTCCAAAGATAAACTTTATTGAGAAATATGAAAGAATGGGAGAGAAATCTCTCCTCCAAGGGTGTCCCCCGCACAATAAAGTCACTACTCTATTCACAATGTTAACAATATTCAATAACGATCAACTCTAACATTGTATTCTCCTATTTATACAAATAGCCCTATAGCAACTTCAACTAACCAACTTCTAAAACAACCCTCAAACAATGATTTACTCTAATTGGGCATTATTCTATAACTCTAACAGGTTTTCAGCAGGAACCGGAGCAACTGGTCGGAATGGGAAAGGGAATCTGCCCTACTGCTATGCTAGATCAAATTCAAATGGCCCTAAACAACTGTTTGAAAACCAGTATTTGAGCCAGAAAAGAAAACCAGTTGAACCATGTAAACCTCACATGTTTAAACCAATCATTATTATATTATGAATGAAACAGTTTAAACTGTCACTTATCTGGTTTCCTGCAATGTGTGTGATATCTTCTGTATAAATTTCGCTGGAGGTTGTGTGTGGCCACAAAGATCGGGTTGTGATTGGTATTGATATGTATTGTTTGGTGTATTTCTTGACTATCACTCTTTGAAAGGTGATTGGTTTTTGTAATCCTGCTTAATCCTATCTATATAACCCAAATTCAATCTCACTCCTATTAATATGCCCAATGTAAGACAATTAAGAGCTTGTCATACAATACAAGGGTTTGGCTTCAGTCAAAACCAAGATGCTTCACCTCTTTCTCTTATTTCAATGTGACGGATAGATGATGAGAAGCTTGCCAGCACGGACTATTCTTGCAACCGGTAGAAACACGGAGCACCAAATATTTATTAAAATTTAAATAGGGACTAAAGTTAGAAGGTCTCCATTTTATAAAGACCAAAAATATATTTAACCAATTTATTTATAAAACCGTCATATGTATGTTGAGTTTTTTGACATTATTATAAATTAATAAACCAGTTTAATACAATATAGATGTATATTTGAAATTTATGTTCAACTCTGGTTCAACTCCAGCTGAGCCTCAACCTAAAACCTCTCTCTTTACCAGTACCCTGACTGGTTTGGTTATTATAAACAGTGATTTCAATGACCTGGTTGCAAACAAGAATTGCTTCACAAAAACAGTGAACTTCCATTTATTAATCATTTTAACCATCAGCATACATAAAAGAAAATTTGAAAAATGAAACTAAAACAGGACCTGTACAGTATTGGGCCCATATAAAACTACAAAAAATTCTAATGATTTTTTTTTTATTTAGTATTAGGATGGAATGCAAGTAAATCCCTCGTAATATACAAATATGGGTCAGCAATTGTATTTTTAGTTCTAGAGATATTTTAGTGATCATCTAAAAGATCCTAAAACACTATCTAGCTGCATCAGTATGTGTGATTCTAAAGCTACTACAAGAAGCTGGTTATTTAGCTTGGGCCTTAAGTTGTGGACTAATTGTGCAATTGACCCCTAAGTTTAACATTATCTATTTATGTCATATAACCAACTTCACAAAATATATAACTAATGAAGAGATTACTTCAATATAATATGTCTTTTTCTTAATGTGACGCATAACCTAATTTCTTATACAATACTAATTTTCCCTTAAATGTGACGAGACTCCATTTGCTTAGCAAGAAGCACTGATCATTAACCCTTAATCTTTTCACTTGAACCACTCTTGTCCTCAAATATTATTTAGGAGCCCTAAGTTCCCTTAACTCCTTCCTTCAGGGATCCCAAGAAAACCTTATTTTGATCTTTTAAGTTCTCTCTTCGTCAAAAAAAAATCCTATGTTGTCTGCTGTGCTGCATTATGTTAGGTACTTGGTTTGGGCCTAAGCCCACCAAATGTGTCAAATAGAGGAATGAGTTATATTTGCTGATGTGGCTAGTTGGTTAGAGGGGAATAATAGTTATATAAAGGATAGGGATAGCAATGGAGAGAGCATTGAGAATTATTAAGTTAGGAACCACATTGGTTTGGGCAGAGAGAGAATTGTCTCTTCTCTGAGGAGCTTTGCTCTGGGATTGCAGAGGTCTATCTTCTGTAATAGTTACTGCTGGAAATTATCAGAAATTACTAGATAATTGCCGGAAACTGTCAGAAACTACCGGAAACTGTCGGATAACTGCTGGAAACTGCCGTATAACTGCCCAAAACTGCTGGAACACTGCCATAAAACTGCCCAAAACTGCCGGAAACTTCCGTATAACTGCTGGAAACTGACGAAAACTGCCGGATAACTACGGAGAGCCAGTGATGGAGGACGTTTGGACTATGAAGAGGGAATTACCAGATTTTATGGGGACAGATCCTGTTGGTTGGATCTCTGTGGCTGAAAAGTTCTTTGAGAAGAACAAAATTCATTCCGAAGATGAGTTGCAGTGGGCATTCATGAGCATGGAAGATGAAGGAGCGATGCTATGGTTTTATTATTGGTGCGAAGAGAATCCAGATGCTGACTGGAATTCACCTTCTATGACTATGACTAGAGAATTTGGAGCACAAATGGTGCAAAATCAAGAATCTAAGCCGAAACTATGGAAGGTGACAGAAACACACGATGAGCCAAAGTTAGAGGAGATGAACTTCACTGTAGAACGAGAAGCAGAAGGTTATGCAAAAGTAGAATCCGACTCCAAAGAGATTGTTGATATAGTGATTGAAACGGATTACCGAAAACGAGGAACAAAAGCATTGTGAGAGAAGAATGAATGAGATGCAAAGAAGAAAGGAGCAAGCATTTGTTTTTGGGCCACCTCTGTTGCCGGAGCCACCGGACACCGTCCTTTATGTGATGGCGAACGAGATTCAAATAATACAAGCGGTTGTCGTCGAACTCCGACCCCCACCGGAACCGCCAAACATGGATTCGCATGCGCGAATCTCTTCAACCTCTGATCTGCAAGGAAGGAAAGAGGGGTTCCATGGGTTGCTCAACTTTGTATTTGACAGAGGCAAGTTTTTGTGTCGAGGAAAGATTTGGCAGCAAGGGATGCAATATCTCAGCCTTGAGGTCAAGGCTGTTTTTTAAGGGGTGGATATTGTTAGGTACTTGGTTTGGACCTAAGCCCTAAGCCCACCAAATGTGTCAAATAGAGGAATGTGTCAAATAGAGGAATGAGTTATATTCGCTGATGTGGCTAGTTGGTTAGAGGGGAATAATAGGGATAGCAATGGAGAGGGCATTGAGAATTATTAAGTTAGGAACCACATTGGTTTGGGCAGAGAGAGAATTGTCTCTTCTCTGAGGAGCTTTGCTCTGGGATTGCAAGGGGTCTATCTTCTGTAATAGTTATTGGTTTTCCATTAATAATATAATTTATTTTCTCTTGAATATTGGGTTCCTAACACATTAGCCTTCATTTTAAAACAATTTACATCTAAAACAACTACGTAATTTGTTAACACTTGAACATAAGATAATTAAGACAAAGTATGAACCAAGAAAGTACCTGAAGCAAACGGAGTTGAAAAGAGCGAACTTGCAGCCGGAGTTGAACTAAACAATGGAGTACTATTACCGAACAGAGAGGGAGTTGATGTCGCACCAGGTAGCGATGATGAGGCAGAACCAAAAAGTGAGGTTTGAGGCGTAGCACTAGATGATCCAAACCATGAGGTTCCTTGAGCCGGAGTTGTTGGTGTTGCAAACAAAGATGACATAGACGATGATGGAGCAGAAGTCGGTGTGCTAAAAAGAGACAAACCACTTCCTGTTGACAAAGATGAAGTTGTTGCAGCAGTCTGTTGGGCAGTCAATGCTCCTTGAGTTCCTGAACTGGAAAACAACCCAGCAACTTGAGTTGAGGGTTGTGAATTTGCAGGTAAATGCAATGTCGGATGAACTCTTTTTGATGCAGCTTCTTGTCTTGCAGTTTCTCGTCGGTCAGCCTCTAGAAATGGATCATTCACCTCCCCTCGGCGGCGCTGATCAGCTAGATATGCTGATTTCATAGATTCCATGTACTGATGAATGCTCTCCACCTGAATAGGCATTATTAAATTATTAAATAACATGTTAGTATTAGCATAAATTAGAATTGGTAAATATTATGGAGCATGGTTTTATATCTGCATAGAATTTTTTGAACAGGTCAACCACGCGTTATCATGTTTGATAGGAATTTTTATTTTACAGATAAACAATGAACACTAGCTCCTTACAAAGAACAGAAACTACAGAAAATAAAGAAGGAATTTAGGAAATATCATAGAAGCAAGAACGTTTTCTCTGCCCTATGGGTTTAGCTACTCTATGATTAAACAATGATCCGAGACTACGCCTATTTCACCAAGCTCAATCCATTAAATCCCCACTCTCCCAGCGCATCCCACGTCCCACCTCCAATATCCTCCTGTTACCTGCCCATTCTGTTGGACACCACTTCACCACCTTTTCTTCCAAATAGACTTCTCTAAACACATGTCCATTCCTTCCCTTCCTCTCTTCCTTCTCTGGTAAACTTAGAGACTTATCCATGCTTTAGAGGTCTATCATAGTTGCATATTAAGAATATATAATGATTTCAAATTTAAAAGCTACGGAGAAATGAATGAACTGCAGAGAGATTAGTTTCAAAAAATAGCTCATAACATGACATGAACAAATGGAAGAAAACAAAATCTCTTGGTAAGTTAAATTTAAAAATAAATAAATACAAAGGAAAAGATACAAGTGATTAAAGTGTCAAGATTCAAAAGCTCACGGCCATAAATTTCCATGTCATATTCCGAAAGTAATAACGAATAGATAGTGTTCAATTCATAAGATTTATATTGAAGTGCATACACCCATAGCAGTATGGTGTGATGTCGTTTTAAAAAGTTATATCTGTTTCTCTTTACTTTACCTTTGCGGCCACGTGAACAAAAAAGTCATGCACATTTGTCATGACTTTGGGAAGAGACTGCAATAACGAGGATCCATTATTAGAAGCATTTTTTTCAGATTCTAGGAGAAGCAGCTGCTCTAACTCTTGAATCCACTGATGACATTCACCAAGATATTTCTCAAATCGAAGAATTGTTTGCTGTAAAAAGGGTGATGGTTTCTTCGGAAGACCACTGTAGAAATCAAAAACAGGCACTATAGACGTAGCTGTTGGTTGGCTGTTCAAACTAGGTGTTGTTGCTCCCGGGGTCTGTGATGGGGCAGTGGCACTTGATGCTCCCCCACTAGGATGATGGAACCTTGGACGTAGGATCATAAACGATCGAACAGCAACCTCTGTATTACGTAACATATCCTTAACAACTGACATCAATTCATGTAGCAAAGTTTTCTGCCGTTCCATAGCAGTGCTGATTCCACCAAGTTCCTATTAAACATCAGAAAATATCTGTTATTCCATGAATAGATCACATTAAGCAAAATATTAAGAGAGAAGGAAGCAATTTAATCATTTCAAAGCATTGTTACGATGAAAAACTGCTGAACAACAAGTGAAATGTAAACAGAAATAGAACGAGTTTCAACCACATCATAAAAAAACAGCATGGTTAAACATATCTCAAAAATAGGCTTGTAGGTCTGGCCAGTGGCATTTGATGCATGCACTTCTCAATGCTAATAATAACCACAGGCTGCCCTTAGATGACAAACTAAAAAAATTCAATGGTCAAAGATCATGTTATTAAGGTCACATACGTTGGTAGGACCCTGAGTTGGGCCTAAACACAACAACTAAGCTGAATAGGGAAGTTAGAGAATGAGTCAGTAGTGGCGTGGCATGTGACTCTCCTAGCATTCTGTTATGAGTGAACTGTCTATATGATTAGAGCGAGATGGGTAAGGAAAGGCATTGAAAAATATTGTTAGAGTTGGCTAGGAGAATTCTCTCTCTAGTTAGGAGCATAGTTCTCTGGATAGGAGTCTCTGACTCTTGGTTTTCTTTCTTCCATTACTGTAAGTGAGCTTCTGCTCCATTTCCATACTATTGGGAGAAACCCAAGTCCCACATTGGTTAAAGATAGAGCCTAAAGAAATGGCTTATACAGAGTAGCACCCCTCACCTTAGAAGCCGGTTTTGTATGAATGAGTTAGCCAAAATCTAATTCTAAAACATACACAATACAAACAGATTATCTTTTCTCAATTCACAGGTCCTATCATACATTCTGCCCGAATAAAGTAATTAAATTTGATATGCTTCCTTCACAAATCAATAGAAAGCAAATCACACAAGTCAAGAGTAAACTATCAATTAATTTTGCTATAGAAAACAAAATCATAAGCAAGTATTTTCATTATGCCTCAACTAGAAAACGTCGATCCATACATTTTTCGCCAACATAAAAGTCATGTTTTTTATTTATAACGAAAACAGAATACATAGATGATCAACAAATTGGTGTAAGCGAGAACCTGAACAATATGGCTTGCATCAACCTCAAACCCATCATTCGAAACGGAAGAATCATAAAGACGATTACACTGATCAAGTCTCTGGCTTTCATCTCTATACTCCAATACCCGTTCCCTGTGTAACAAATAACATCTAATAAGCAACTAAAATCATAACATAATAATAATAATAATGAAATTAAAAATAAAAAACTTAAATTTGAAGAATAAAGTGGAAAATTAGAACATATACTCGATCTGAAGTAGAAACTTCTGGGAATCAGGATGTAGATCGGGCCAATTGGTGGTGTAACTGGCAGGAGTTTTATCGTTAGTGAACAAAAACAACAGTTGTTGCTGTTGCTGTTGTTGAAATTGCTGTTGATGTGGCTGTTGTTGAAATTGTTGTTGTTGTTGTTGTTGCTGTGGCTGGAACAAATTGGTCTGCTGCTGAAAAGGCGATTGTTGCTGTTGCTGCAGTGGTTGAAAAAGAGACTGCGGTTGCGGTTGCTGAGGAGTGGAGAACAACGAAAGTGACATTGTGAAAAGCGATATCAGAGAGTGAAGAAAATCTCAAAAGTTCAAAACCCCTTGTTAAACCCTAGGATCTGAATAGGGGAAATTGAGAAGGTTTAAGAGTTAATTGTTAGAATTTGATATTGACGCATTGAGAATGAGGACAGGATTTTACTTTCTCAAATCCCGCCCCGCGTCCACAACCCCTGCCTGTGCCTGCTGTTGAAAAATAAAACGTCTTCGTCCATTTTCCTTTTCAAATTTTATGCTATCATTTTTTTTTTGTCTAATTCAATTTTTTAATATGTTTTTCCTTATTAGGTCATTTTGAATTTAAAAGTATTTAAATTTAATATTTAAATGTATTTTTTAGTCTTTTTATTTAGATGTTTTAATTTTTTTGTCCTCCTATTTTAAAATTTAATGTTTTATTCCTCAATTTTATTTTGTTTGGAATTTTGTTGATTCCTTCATTTTTGTAAATGCGACATTCATGACTGGAATTAAAAATATTATTTTTAATGATTTGGTTTTGATTAATAGGATATTTATTTTTTTAAAATTAATTAATTAATTTTAATTAAGATATTTTAGTAAATTATTTAATTATTAACTGAAAATTTTAGTAAATTATTAAAAAATTAATTAATACAAACAATATAAAAATTTTGGGCTCTCGAGTCAAACTAGTTCTGCTCCTCTTTATAATTAGACAATTTCTTTTTTCAATAATGTGACTCATATTTCTAAAAATTTAAAATTGTCTTAAAATTGTCTAAAAAATTTATTTGAAAATGCATTTTCGAAAATATTTTTAAATTCATTTTTAGCTATTTTAATGCAGTTACCTATTTGATCTTACCGGATCAGACTTGGACCGTCACAGCTGGCTCGAACTGGATTTGAGTGAGATGGAGGGGTACCTGCAAGACACTCTGATGCTAAAATGAGAGACGGAATGGGCAGGCAAAAAGTATATAGGCGTGTGATAGATGAATATCTGACCCTCTTGGAACAGAGGATATTTATAGCCCCTAGCATTGGGCCAAGGTCCCCTCATTGGGCTGACTAGAACTGATCCATTAAAGGAACTGCCAAGTTCTACGTGTGTAGTGGGGACCCGCACGTGGTCCCCTTCCTGGGTGGTGCTCCGCGAAGAATGAGGAAGGACAAAGACGCGGTCTTTCCGGAGTTTTGAGGATTCCATAACGGTTATAGTGGACAGAATCTGCCCTACGGGGAGAGTGCTCGAGCTGGGCTCGAGCTCGCGGTCCCCTGGTCGGGAGGCTGCTCGTCGCGGGCAACGGCGGGCGTTACAAATGTAGTTTGTGGTCGGGCACGTTTGATGATGTACTGATTATGGGCATTCCTCGAGGAGCCGCTTGGATCTGGGCCTTTATTTGCACTTTGAGCCAAGGTGGGCCCAGTCCAGAATAGGAGCCCCCCAAGTCGTTGCTCCTGGTGCAGGAGTTATGACTTGATCTTAGCTCGCTTTTACCGCGGAGACCTGACGCCCGAACCAGGGCTTTTGTTTTTCGAAGCGTGCTCGAGGAATTTCTTACGGGCTGCGTTCGTCGGATACGTGTGGCAGTCCTTGGGAATTGTAACACCACCCTAGCGAAATAGAGTCATCATTGTCTAGGGGAATAGATGTCGAGGACGGGGGAAGTTTGTGTCTCCCCGGTGCGACGTTTCACATTCCACGTCATCCCTATAAATAGGACCCTTTGGCCCATAATTTATTTTTCCTCTTCACGCTCCTCCCTCTTTTTCTTTTTCTGTTGTCGTCATTTCCCGTAACGCTGTGAGACCGCCGCACTATCCGCCGTTGATTACCTTCACCGTCGTCGTTCGTACCTCTTTTCTTCCAAGTAAGTGTCCGTTCCTCCTGTTTTTCTTCGTTGTAGGTAGTTTTTGATACAATTTTTTATACTGGAAATACATATTTGGAAGTAATGCCCGGTAGATTCATGACTGTGCCCGAGATACTCATAGTTTAGGGACATAATTTATGAGATTGCCTGTGGTATTCATAGTTTAGGCACATAATTATTGATATTGCCTGTGAGATTCATAGTTTTGGGCGTATAGCTCATGATATTGCTCGTGATCTTCATGTGTTTGGTCGGGATGTTCATCCTTTTAGGAAATATGTAGGGTAGTCTCCTTGCGGTATCCTAGTGTCGGGTAGGCAAAGTCAGGAACTTGCTTGAGTGATTCATGATTCGCCCGGGGCGCTCATGCTACGCTCGTGCTGTCCCCGATGCGTGGTCGGAGTTGGGGTGTCCGTGTTCGGCTTGTTGTGTACTTCTTCCTGCCTCTGTGGCGAGCACGCGGATTTGCTCTCGAATTTACCGGTTTCCTGTGCTTTGCAGGTAAATGGTCGATAATCCGGAATCCTCGCGGAAAAATGATGCCGAGGAAACAAGTACGGAAGAGAATGTTACATTAGTCGAGACCATTGATGACCCTACGTTGGACTGGGTGGGCGCCGAGCCCCGGGGGATTGCTTCGGCGTACTGTCAGTGTAGTTGGCGTGCTTATACTGTCGTCGAGCATGGCGGCAGTCAGCCAGGTTTTCAAAAGAATTTTGTAGTAATGAGGCCGACGATTGATGCGCGTATCTGCTTGGAGTTTACTGAGTACGCGTTCCCTATGTACGAGATCGTGTTCAAGGATCTCGGTCTTAAGCTACCCTTCAGCGACTTTCAAGTCGGGGTGTTCAGCCATCTGAACCTGGCCCCTTCGCAGCTTCACCCCAACGTGATCGCTTTCCTTCGGGCATTCGAGCTGACGTGCCGTTTCTTGAGAATCGGGGCGACGATTCCCGTTTTCTTCAGGGTCTTTCACTTGCAGCGTCAGTCTCGAGGAGGCAGGCACAACTGGGTATCCCTAAAACAGTCGAAGAGGCTGTTCAGGATGTATATGGACTCGGTAAGGGATTTTAAAGATAAATGGTACGTGATGCAGCTGGTCACCCAAACCGCCTTGGACTCCTTGTTCGAATCGGAAACCGTGGTGGTCGACGCAGACGGGGAACCCCTCGTGGATGCAGAGGGTAGTCCGGCAGTCGGGCGTATTTCCAAGTTCCGGATTCATTGGTGCTCGGGCCATTACGATCATGGCACCGGGTACTATCATACACCCGCGGGGAGCATGAGTGTCGAGGACGAGGAGGCCTATGTTGTCCTTTGCAAGTTCGTTGATAGCTTATTCCCTGCCCGGTGGGTCACGAGGGGGATGATATTCTCGATGAGGACGGGTACCCGATGTTCGAGGCGCGTCCCATCAACACCAAGGCGCTCGTTGAGTGCCAATCTTACGGGAAAACCATAGATCTGCTAGGTTTCTCGCTTCTGCTCTTATTGTTTTATTCCATTTTTGTTGTTTTTGCTCGCTTGCATCTAACCTGGGTTTGCTCCTTTTTGCAGGTGACATGGCTGAACGACGAGAGAGGTTATTGAAGCTAACCCAAGACAAGAAGATAAACAAGAGGCTGGTGAGGGCACCGCAAGCCACGAGGATGGGCCTGCCAGCCAGTTCGGGCGGAGATGCATCCAGTGGGTCCTCGGGCTCTCCCGATGCCGAGCAACCCATTGAGCTGGTTACCCGGAAGAGGAATCAGACTGAGAGCAGGTCGGAGGCTGGTGACGAGCCCGTCGCTGCTCGGGCCTTTGGCTTACCGCCCTGTTTTGCAGAGATGGATTTCTTCAAGGGGTTTCCTCTGACGGTGAGTGATAACGAGGCCGAGACTATTAAACGGCTTGACAAAGAAGGCCGGAGGAAACACCTCGCCGCCAGTATGGTCGGGGTGGTGAAGATGTCAGAGATGGATGTAGTCCTTTCCAGGGAAGGATCAGACTCCTCGGACCGTCTTAGGGAGTTGGAATCAGAGAAAGCTGCTTTTGCTGCCAAATCTCGTAAGTTAAAGGCGGCCCTCGAGCGGTCAGAGGAAATTTTTCACGAGCAAGCCGACATGCTATCGGGGAAGAAGGAAAAGTCTGCGAAGGCTGCCGAGGAGAGAGATTGCCTCCAACTTGACAAGGAACGGTTGGAGAGTGACAACGAACGTTTGTCCAAGGAAGTCGAGGAGCTAAAAGCTGCTATATTTCCTGCTGACGACGAGCCGGAGGAGATAGCCTCTTTGCGAACCCGTTCAGATTTGGTTGCACGTATCCACCTTCTCGAGTCATACTGTGTTGGTGCCCTAGCCGATGTGTTCGAGTCCGCAGTCAGCCAGCTCTCCGTCCTAAATCCGAGAATGAACACCGAGGGAGTCAGGTTCATGTCTCATATTATCGATGGTCAGGTCGTGCTTCCTCCCGAGTCTCCTGGGGTAGATGCCGGAAGTCCCGGGGATGTTTAGCATTAAGTTGATGTTTCGGCCTGCGCGCCCGTGTATTTCTATGTTTTTGGGGCCTGCGTGCCCGTGATAATTCTTGATTCCTTTTGGCGTTGTGCCATGGTTTATAACCTCGAACATCACTGGCCTTCTTGGTCGGTTCATTATTAACCTATTTTGTGCATGTTCTTTCAATTTTTATTTTGTTTTAACCTGCTCGTCTTTAGGCTAATGCTCGAATGTCACTTTCGTGATGGATATTTTGTTTAAGTTTTGTCCTCGAGCGGAGGTATCCTTTCGACCCCTTTGATGGCTCGACACACTTCGAAATGCGTCGGTTATGCGGAGTGGAGCCCGCATGTCGAGCGTATGACTCAGATCAGGGTCTTACACTCGCGGCGTGAACTGCCCATCGCGAGCTGGGTGTTCTGCCATGTGGGTACTTCGACAGTGGAGCTCGATCGAGGTGTCCCTGTCGGGCATTGTTGTTCGACTCGTCGGGTGAACGACGGTATGTCGTTTGGTGGTAGGTTGGGTCCGTACCTCGACCCGCCTACATGGTCGAGACATTTCCTTTTGTTGGCTAAAGGTGGATGTTCGACAATGAAAGTCCACAGTGGTTGAGGTCTTTAGCTATAATATTGTTTTAGCTTAGCGGTGTTCCAGGGTCATGGTAACGGTT